TTTGTTTCTTTTCTCTTACTGCTTGTAGTATTTTGTTCTTCTGTTGGGTTTCTGGGATCTTGATTATTATATGTCTAGGTGTAGATTTTTTTTGATTGTAGCTATTTGGGGTCCTATATGCCTCAGTTATCTGAATGTCAAATTCTTCCCCTCTGTTTGGGAAGTTTTCTGTCATTAATTCTGCGAACAGTTTTTTTAGGTCATTTGTATTTTCTTCTGGTACTTCATGTATTCCTATCAGTCTTATGTTATTCTTCTTTGCATCATCTAGGAGTTGTTGGATCGATTTCTCATGATCTCTTACTGTTTTTTTTTTTTTTTCTTCATTTGTTTTGTTTTGTTTTTGGTACCGGGGATTGAACTCAGGTCCTTGCGCTTGCAAGGCAGGCCACCGAACCGCTGAGCTAAATCCCTGGCCCATCTCTTACTGTTTTTAAGAGACCTCTCTTTTCATGGTCACTGACTGCAATCTTATCTTCTATATCTGAGAGTCTGTCTTCGCAGTCTTTTATTCTGTTGCATACATTTTCAATAGAGTGTTTAATCTCTTGGATATCTGTTTGAATCTGTTTTATGGATTCCATTTCTTTCCTATGTTGGGCGTTTATTTTTTCCATTTCTTTCTTATGCTGGGCCTTCATGACTTCTATCATGGTCCTGAGCTCATCTATTTTTTGTCAGTTTCTGCTCTAGAGTCTCAAATCACGACTTCCATTTTGCTCACTATCTCTATGGTTATCTGGGAAATTATTTCTGTTTTGAATTTTTCTAGAGCCTGATTGATCTGTTTTGTTACTTCCTGTGTTTTGAGTTCAGGGTGTCCTGGTGGCTCACTTTTGGCCTTTTCATCCTCGTTTGCCTTATTGTTTGCCATTGGTAAACTGGAAGTCTGTCCTTGTGTCTTGGTTAAGTGTTTTCTCATTTTTATTTTTGTTGTTGGACTGTCCTTGATTTAATCTCTGGATTATCACCCAAATCTTCCTGATATAGTTGCGCCCTAGCTTCTGTGTCTCTAACGACCCACAGACATTCTCATCTTCATAACATCAGAGAAAACAGCTCATCAAATCAATGGCAATGCTTTACCCCAACTGATACAATCAGCAACACATTAAGATCAAGCACAACTTGGACACTGACCACCTGTGGTAGTCACTAGTCTATCACCCTTAAATCATTTGAATTAAATTGAAATCAAGAAGCAGTCCTGAACATGTCTGCCGTGAACAAAATTTCAATATAGTGTATTATCATTTAATGGCTCAGACAGAGCAAGGATGCAAGATCCCTGATCTCAGTTAGCTTATGGCTGAACCCCATGACCCTGACTGACCTCGGGCTGCAAGGCCCAGATTGAGTTCCCCAACCTTCTGAATGGTTGAACTCTGCAGTGTTCTATTACAGGTTTCCCACGCCCTTTCTTTAAAGATGTTCAAAGTTGGGAACTCAGAAAAATACCTTTGATGACCACCTCTGCCTCTGCAGAGTGAGTCCAAAGACTGGCACAGTCAGGAGGTCTGAGAGTGCAGGGGTGGGGCTTATGGGGGTTCAGGGGTGCCCACGCAGCTTCCTTCCCAGCACTTGAGCGATGGCAGCTGGGTCAGGAGCAGGCGTGGCTCTCCTTCCCATGGTGGATCGGGGCCCAGGCTGGATTGTTTTTCTCTTGATTTATTGAGAATGTAATCAGAATAGACACTGACAAAGTCCTTTCTGTTTTCATTTGTAATTGAAGACAGTGTTCTTTAGTCTATAGGCTATGTGAAATCCCTTTATGAATTCATTGAACAAATATCTAGCTAGCATCTATATGTACAAAGCACAGTGCATGGTTCCAGAGATGGAGCAGTATACATTTCCCACCTTGCTGGGTGTGGAAGCATATGCCTGTAGTCCCAGCACTCGGAAAGCTGAGGCAGGAAGATCTCCACAAGTTTAAAGCCAGCCTGGCCTACTTAATGAGTCCAAGGACAGCGTAAACTACATAAAAGAGACCATCTCATAAAGAAAGAAGGAGAGAAAGAGAGAGAGAGAAAGAGAGAGAGAGAGAGATCCTTTTTCAAGCCTATTTGTTTTTTGTTTTGTTTTGTTTTGTTTTTAGGCTCTTAGCTTTCTTTTGCTTATTTTTATTTTGTCAATATAAATGTGGAGCATTTCCAGGGAAAATATGGAGATATGAAAGTCAACAGGACTATGAAGTTATAAAATTTTTTAAAAAATACTCGATGTATAAGAGACACTCATCCACACAGGTAATTGGGGCCTGGAGCGAGGGCCTAGAAATGGAGTCATTCCCCACTTACTAAGATCTAAACCCAGGGAAGCTACTGGGAAGCTACTGAGATTCTCCAAAACTCAATCTCAAAATCTGTAAAGTGGAATTAACAGTATTTTTCTCTCCTTTATCAGAGGGTTTTTGTGAGAGTTCAGAGAGACATTAGATATCAATAGCAACTTTGGTTATTAATGTGGGCAGATTCTTCAATAACAGAAGTCTTGGGCTGGGGATTTTGCTCAGTGGCACCTCACCTGCCTCACAAACACAAGATCCTGAGTTCAATGCCTGGTACCAAAAAACAAAAACAGAAACAAACAAACAAACAAACCCAGAAGTCTTATAAATCAGAGAAGCTTCATGCAGACTTAGTCTTCCCAAACAGAACAAGGAGCTTTCTCTATTTCCTGACTACACCTAGGATTCTGCCCCTGAGATATGTGGAGCTACAAATCTACGACCGGCCCCAACGCATCCTCCAGGTGAGGACGGTGACTGAAAAGATCTACTACCTGAGGCTCCATGAAAAACACCCAGAAGCCGTATTTCAGTTCTGGACCCGCTTGGTGAGGATTCTATGGAAAGGGCTCTCCATCACCACCAAAGACCCAAGAATCCGCATCACTCACTGCCTGGTGCCCAAGCTGCCCAGATTCTCCACCAAAACAACTGTAAGTGGAGCCTCCCTCCCCACCTACATGTGTGCACGTGTGTGTGTGTGTGTGTGTGTGTGTGTGTACGTGCACAGGCAGGTGTATGCACATAATACACACATGTGCAAGCATGCAGTCGGCCCATATCTGCAAATTCTCCCATCCGAACATTCAACCAACCTCCTATCAAAAATATGCAGAAAAAAATTGCATTTGTACTGAACATATCAGACTTTTTTATCTTGTTCTTATTCCTTGAACAGTGTAATCTAACAGCTATTTTCATAGTACTTCCATTTTTTTAGGTATAATAAGTAATGTAGGTAGGGTTGATTTAAAGTAGGAGGATGTGCATAGATTACGTGCTCTTACACCAGAGCCCGCAGTGTTCATTATGCCCAAAACACACCGTAAGCAGAGCAGGTTGCAAAGAGTTAAATCCCTTGGCTGGCTCACTTTAAGAAGCACATCTGACTCACAGAGGTGTCTCATGAGCACTGCGGTATCAAGTAGATCAATACGACTTCCCCGCGAATGGCCACAGCCGAGACCAGAGTGACAGCCTATGAAGTGTGGGGCTCATACGAGACAACATTCATAGCTGAGGTCAGAGTACCTCGCACCCAAATTCTATTCCCACAATTAGTGCCATCATAGCTTGAAGGACATTACAGCCATATATTTTGTCTATCTTGCTTCTCATTTGAAAATGCTTCAACTCCTCTTTAAAGCCTTGCCTGCATTTGTTTCCATGGTAATTTCAGGTACTGCACATCTCTTCACGTGTTGCACCTTTACCCTGGTTGATGAATAATAAAATCTGGTGGGAGAGATGGACCAGTGCCTTTTGCCACAGAAGTATTGGCCATCATGGTTCACACTTTCTCTTTAACTCTGTCTTAAATTTTTCTTCCACCTTGTGTCACACACAGGGCAGATGGGGACTAGAGTCTTACTGCAGGAATCCCTGGCAATGTCACATAAAGGACCTGAGCATCCTTGGAGTTTGGTACTAGAGAGAGGTCCTGGAATCAGTCCTAATGTTGCCAAGGGACAACTGTGTATATTACTGACTGCTGGGTTTTTACTTGAGATTATATCATGGGCAGTTTTCCTTATCATAGGCACTGAATATTACAATTGAGTAGTGTTTACATTTTGTAACTGTATTTTAATATGATAGGTAAAAAGATGACACCTTTGATTTTTAATGAGTTTGTATATTGTCACCTGTGTACTTATAGATTATATTTCTTTTTTTTGTTTCCTATTGAGTTATTTTGCCTTTTTTTCCCCACTTGCATTGCTGGGGATTGGATGCAGGGCCCTGTGCATACTGTGCAAGCGCTCTACCACTGAGCTACATGTCCATCCCTTAGGGTGACTTTTGACACCCATAAAGATGGTCCAGGATTTGCTTAGTATAAAGGCACAGGGATCTGGGCATAGGGTGCACACATGTAATCCCAGCCCTCAGGAGACCAGCCTGGCCCTCTGACTTGCGTTTCTCCACACAGCCTGAGAGCAGCCTCCCTGGGTCTTCCCAACCCAGCGAGACCCTCCTGCTGCTGGCAGCCGAGCAGACCAATAGCAGTTTCTCAGAACTCTCTGGAAGGACTCAGCTTACAGCCAACAGGTGGGTCCTGTGAGGTCTGCTCCAGTGTCCCTTCCCCATCATGGAGTCACGGGGTCAGTGGTCCCTCTACCAGCCCATCTCTGTTGCTACTTGTCATTCTAGATAGGCTCCTGACTTTCCCTTAATTTCGTTGTAAGCCTGTCCTTGAAGACAGGGTCTTTGGCAGTCACTGATCTGCATGTTCATTTCCTGGGCAAACCCCAGTATTTTCAGGTGCTCAGTAAAATGAGTGAAGGAGTAAATTAATCCCAAGAAGTGTAAGCCAATAAGTCAGGCTCAGAGAATGAGCTGTTGACAGTCTCCTTCCCAGATCACAAGGGTCCCTTGGGCAAGACTACTTCTCTTTGTCTTACCTACTTCTTCTGGAAAATGAGCAAATGGGCAGTAGCACGCATGAATACTATCCCTAGCTCCCAAGTTCTATTAATTTACTAATTGTATTAGATCCTTTCTGTAACGAGTGATAGAAACCCCAAAGCAGTGAGTGCAACCAACATAGTCAATAAGTACAGCTTGGAGGATATCAGCAAAATGCACGTTTAAACCAGGCATGATGGCCCATGACTGTAACCCCAGCACTCAAGAGGCGGAGGCAGGAGCATTATAGTGAGTTTGAGGCCAACTTGGGCTCCATAATGACTTCAAGGCCAGCCTGAACTACATAGTGAGACCCTTTCTTAAAAAAAAAAAAATAAGAAGAAGAATGAAAACAAAACAAAACAAAAACCCACAGTTTAAGACATAGGATCTTATACAGAAATCAAAAAAAAAAAAAAAAAAAAAAGGGAAAAATTTAAAAAAAAAAAAAAAAAAAAAAAAAAAAAAAAAAGGGATAGATTTAGAAAAAAACAAAACAAAACAGATGCCACAAGGAGGAGCTAGATCGCCCAGGTCAGGGCTCTTGGCTAGCGACTTGTTCGAAGTAGACTCAGGCACTTCTTAAGCACTGGGGAATTTTTGAGGACATGGCAGCTTGTGTGTTCAAGGGCTGTCAATGCTGGGTTCTGCTAGCAAGCTCTGGATAGATATCAGAAAGGTCCTGACATCAGGCAGAAGAGTTCCAGGCATTTCTAGGCAAAGAGGTCTCAGATTATTTAGCCATATTGCGATTCTTTTGCTAAATAACCCTAAAATTATTTTCGCATAAAATTTCATCGCATTTATCTCTGAATATTGTGTAATTTTCATTTTATTTTTGGTGTTTTGTGGTAGTTTCTATTTTCTTTAAAATAAGAATATATTTCTCCTCTAATTAGAACTTCTAAAAAATTCATAGCCACATAATGTGTTTTCTAGCCACTGAGTGGCCTGACCTGTGGGGTGTGTGTGCTGTGTATGGTATACTGGGATTGAACTATATTGGGCTTTTGCACTGAGCTACAGCCCCAGACCTATTTTTATTTTCTATTTTATGACAGGGTTTTGCTAAGTTACTCAGGCTGGGTCCAAACTTGGGACCCTCCTGACTCAGCCTCTCATAGTTCTGGAATTGTAATTTTTTAATTTACATTTTATTGCTTTAGAGAACTGTTCGAAGATTTTCATTGCATTGAGACTGATCCAGTGGGTGTGGACTTCGCATTTGAGTCCTAACACACTAGGCTCTCGACATCTCCAGCCATGCTTTGGGTGTGGAGCTGTCTGACCCTCTGCAGTAGGACAGGCCTTTGCTCCAGGCTCCCTCCTCAGCTTTCTGTCCTCGGTTGCTCTTAGATATGTCATACCATATATGCATACTGTCACTACCCTTCATCTCCTTATTTCCACCTGCACTTAAGGCACCCATGCTGTAAAAGATACAATTCGAAAATGGAGCCCAGCGTAGTAGCACATGCCTGTAATTCCAGCACTCTGGGAGGCTGAAGTGAGAGGATGGCAAGTTTGAGCTTCACCTGGGCAACTTAGCAACTTAGGGAGATCCTGGATCAAAATAAAAAATAGTAAAAGTGCTGGGGCTGTAGCTCAGTGCAAAGGCCCTTGGTTCAATACCCAATACTGTAAAAAAAAAAAAAAAGTTCTAACGTACATTTTAATAGTTTTTTCTTTTTCCTTGTTCTTCTGTCACTCCCAATGACCCCCCGAAATTCCTGGGCTTTCACAGAAGCACTGATACTGCCATCAAAATAGACAGTTCCAGCAGCTGCAAGACACCTTTGCCAGTGGTATCACAGGTCAATGTGAACATACCCATGAGAGCCACCTTGAGCCACAGCCTGTGGGAACAAGATGACCCAAATGAGCACCTCTTGCAGGCTCCTGTAGCCAGTTCCCTAGGGGAGAACTTCCTGGGACCCTAACATCTAGTCAGCTTGAGTGATCATCCCTGGCTTCTGTGCCCTTGCTACATCTCCTTTAATGCTGTTCCCACAGTGGCCACAGGGGAGGTAAGATGGTGTTTACAACAAGTGCTTCTGTACTACCACCAATAAACCTCCAAGTGCATCCCTGACTGCTGTGTGTTCCAGAGTTGGGAGCTCTGGGCTGGGGAAGGACTCACTGGGAATAGGTGCTCACTTCTTGGGAAACTCAGTGGGAAAGAATTACTGTCTGCTTCACTGAAACTCAGAGCCACCAAGCACTGCCGAGCAAGCCAGTGCAGAGGAAATGGCCTCTGTGGAGAAATCCAACTTCCTTTTTCAAAGAGGTGGAGGAAACCGGGGCAGGGCTTTGCTACAAAAGAAATTCTGAGGAGGATGGTAACCAACTGGGAGATACCTTTGTGTCTCCCACGCATCTCAAGCAAGAATTGAGTCTTGAGGCAACCCACTTTCCAGTCCCCATCGTCTCTCTTAGACAGAAACTATCTTTCTCTCAATAAATTCTTCCTACTCTTAACCTCCATTGTTCCTAGAATTCATTCTTCGATTTTAGAGAACACGAACTCACATTTTGGATATCTAGCAGGTTTGGGAGCTGCATCTATTCCTCCTGTATCATTTTGGAGGTCTTCTACCAAGATTACTGGTCAGAGACTCAAAGCTCTACATGTACCCAAGATGACAATGCCAGGCACCTATTGAGGGCCTTTAGACAGACCCTCTGTGGAGTAACTGACTGCTGACCACAACTACAGCCCTCTTCAGCCAGAAGTAGCCAGAACTGTCTTCACCCTTTCCCCGCCTCACACAGTCAGGAGTGCTTCTTGGCTGGGGGATATTGTAGATAGGTAAGTTTATTAGATATCTTGTAGGCAATTGAACAGGGCTGGCCTTCAAGGACCCAACATGGAGGATAGTTGAGAAGCCAAACATGGAGGTCATTCAAGACACATTCACTGAAAGCCAGCCCTATAAAAGAAGAGAAACTACCACACCAACATGCTTCCCCTAAGCATGAGTAGCAGTGATTGATATTCTAAATAGGTGTCAATCACCTGGGTGGGGGAACCAAGATCTTCCAAGATCTTGACCTACCCCTTACCACCAAAACTCTTTGCTCATTCCTTGTACACTTGCTACATGACTTGCTTCTCCACTGGATCCCCATTTAATCAATATTACCTAAGCCACTGAATTTATTGTAATTTTATTCGTTGTTCATAGTTTTATCCATCTTGTGATTTCTCATCGGATCAGTATTATCTAAGCGACTGTTCTTGAAATCTTACTAATTGGCTATAGTTTTGTCCCACCTTGAAGCCACCTCACCTCATGGCTTTGTCCCATACAACACCTTTGAGAAGTGGGGTGAGTGGGTAACCCACTCTCTGGTCCCCCTTCTGTCTCTCTTAGACGAAGCTATCTTTCTCTCAATAAATTCTTCCTGCTCTTAAAAAAAAAAAAAAAAAAAAAAAAGAATTGAGTCTTCATCTGCCGAATCCCTGTGTCGCTGTAAAAGCCACAGAGATGTGGGGGGATGTAGCGCAGTGGTGCTGTGCCTGCCAGGCAAGCAAAAGGTCCTAAGTTTGATCCCCATACCAAAAAAAAAAAAAAAAAAAAAAGCCACAAAGACTCATGTGGGGCCAGCAAAACTCAGAAGGCTCATGGCGACACAGCTTCCTGTGAGAGGACAGTGGCACCCACTGCCGGGAGTCCCCACTGATTTTGCTATTCCTTCCCAAGACCTAATGAAAACAAACCAGAAGACATTGTTTTTTGGCGTTTTAGCCACGTGGGGAACATATACTCACAATATACCAGTGGAGTCTCCGATAAGAATTTGTGAAGCTCTTGCTTGACTCTGGACACTACACTTGGTGCTGAAGACAGAGAGAAAAGACAGATGAGCAAGTTTCCCGCCTTTGGGGAGGGCATGGGAGAATTACTGAGCTCTATTTTGGGAACATAGGAAGGTCATGAAGACTGACATGATGTTTGAGCCATTCAGTCTGCAAATAAAAGTGAGAGGAGCCGGGGATATAGTAGCCCAGTGGCACCACCCCTGCCACCCAAGAGCAAGCTTCTGAGTGTGACCCCGCTGGGGTGGTAGTGGGGGTTGCTTTCTGTGGTTCACACCTGTGTTGGATGGGGAGGTGTATGCTCTTGTGTGTGTTTAGTTGAGCTGAGCAGTAAATCCTGGCTGGATTGGGTCATAAAAGACATCTGAGCTGAGAGGATACCTAATATGTCTGGGTTTCCTCCAGTCTCCATTGAAAATACAAAACAAGCCTGGCATGGTAGTACATGCCTGTAGTCCTAGCACTTGGAAGGCTGAGGCAGGAGAATCTCTGTGAGTTTAAGGCAGCATGTGCTATAATGAGTTCAAGTGCAGTCTGGACTACATATCAAGACCCTATCTCCACCCCTGTCAGGGGGGGGGACAAGATAAAAACCTATAATCCCAGCACTCTAGGAAGCCAAGGTAGGAAAATCACAACTTAGAGCCCAGACTGGAAAACTTAGTGACTTAGTGAGACGCTGTCTAAAGGGAGAGAATGGAGAGTGTAGCAGAGAGAAAGAGAGAGAGAGAGAGAGGAGGGGCTGTGGTGCCAATACCCGCTTCAGAGGAATACCCTAGGGTGTGGGGCCAGACTGTGTCGCACTAGGCCCCATCTCCACTCAGAGCCAACTGGGGACCACACCTTTAACGCAGGGGTCCTTGGAGGACGTTCCAGACCCAAAGTATAGCACGGCTCTGTCTTGGGAAGCTCTCGCAGGGTGGGCACCATGACGCTGGGACTAAATATAGACACCCACAGTGCAAAGGAGGTAAGGTTTACTGTGGCTCCCAGTTCGTAGAGGGTTCAGCCCGTGCACAGCTGGCTCCCAGGCAGGGTGAATGGCAGAGGCGAAAGAGTTCATGCGTGCAGGCAGGAAGCACGGCGACATGAAGGAAAGCGGAAGGACACACACTCTTCCGGCCACGCTCACAGTGACGCGTCTCTTCCCACCCGGCTTCCCCTCCCAGCATCACTCCCCCCATAAACCCATCGGGGGGCTAATCCAGCATTACTCACCCGTGATCCACCCCACCTCTGAGAGCTTGAGGCTTTGGGGGCCGTTTTAGATATAAACCATAACAGGTGGTTTCAGAGCAGAAAAGAAGAGAAAGGAATATTCAGGGTGTTATGGGAGTCCAGAGTCACAGCAGGTCAGCAGTCAGCTCTTGTCGGAGTAGATGGAGAGAGGACCCCGCTAAATGGGTCTCCACAAAGATCAAATTGGTAGGACGTCTGACAGGGTGGGGTATACTGAGAGGAGATATACACTTGTAGCAGAGTTTAGGGGTGCATTAGGAACAGGGAAAGAAAACTAGGAAAATGAAAAGATGATAGAATTACTAAGTCCAAGAAGTAACAATGAGTCAGGCATGGTGATGCACATCTTTTAGCCCCACACTTGGGAGGCTGAGGCAGGAGGATCACCATGAGTTCAAGGTCAGACTGTAAGACTTAAGTCTCACTTTTACTCCTGGAGCGTGAACAGCCAAGAGGCTTCCACGATGCTGGGCTCAGAAGCTCAGCGAGGCTCCAGGAGCTTGTCGGACAGCGAGAGTCACCCAGGAAGGAACATACCAGGCAAGTTGGCAAATAGACCTTTATTAGTCTGGCCAGACAGCACTCCCCAAGCCAAGTAGCTCAGAGAGGCAGCTAGCTCAGAAACAGAGGCCATTTTATATAGGGCTAAGGGGGGGTTTACACTTAAAACTTACAGGAAGAGGACAAAGGCAAAGAATCAGTTGATCTGAGCTAGTGGTCATCAAGCATATACTTGACCGTCACACCCTAATGATCAGCAGATCGATTATCCATTATTCCATTTACAACTTAGATTATAATGTTCAGAACATTCAACTACAGGCAAGTAAGGAGTGGCGTGATTTGTGTTGGGTCTCTGTGTTCACTACAGTTTCCATTTAGTTTCCCAGCTACTTCAAAACAGTTACCTAACAATTCACAATTAATCATTAGTTATCCTATAAGGGATGGGGGGGCAACAGTCTCTAGGTCGTTGGCTGGTCAACATGGAGTCGCTCTGGTTCAGTCAGGCTCTTACAAGACTGGGCTACATAGAAAGAACTTGTATCAAAAAAAAAAGTACAAAAAGAAATATATGTGATTACCTGTAGTACTGTAAATACTGAATAAAGATCTAATCAAAGGTAAAGAGAACAACGTTTGGAGGATAGGTGAGGGGCAAAGGTAAGTAGAGGGAGGATGAAGGTTAAATCTCATCCTCCATAGTTGGAAGTTCTGTGCCCAGAGCTCTTGGGTTCCTACCTGTTCCTTGAGTGGATCTCTGTGGACCACATCAAAGGCTGCCACGTGGGTTCTGCCAGCAGCAGAGTCCAGTCAGAGGAGAGAACAACCTTTCCTTCCCTCAGGGGCACATGAGGCTATGGCCCTTAGCAGGGGAAACTGTTTGCTGTGCCCTCCACTAGGAGACGCTCCTTTTCTGTTCCCATAGCCACAGTGAGGCCTCAGCTAATTGCATGCTCCCTCCCTGAATCTGAAATCTGAATCATGGGGACAACATCCCAGCCGCAATTCTTGCTGTGACACAATCACTTCATCTGGAGGTTTCCTCTGGTTCCAACCTGTCCTGTTTCATCTGCTGTAACAATATAGGGTAAATGTTCTATGGACCTCCAAATAATATAAGGGAAATATTATAACTCCCAACCTGCTAGATGTCCAAAATGCCAGGTTTGTGTTTTCTGAAATCAAAGAATGCATTCTAGGAGCAACAGAGTTCAAGAATGTCAGGCCTGCCCTAAACAAACAGGACAAAGCAATCAGGCTACTTTCAGCAAACAGCAGCAGGTTCTCAGTAACAAATGGTCTCATAACTAAGTATACAGTCTCCCAGCGCTGAAAAGTCCAGTGATTGTCAACACACCTGTCTAGACTGTCCTTGGACTCAGCCATGAACATTTCACCTGGATTCCTTGGCCCCTTCAATACCTATATAAGCCTAATTCCTTTCCCAGTTAGCTGCTAGTCTCTCTCTCTCTCTCTCTCTCTCTCTCTCTCTCTCTCTCTCTCTCTCTCTCTCTCTCTCTTTCTCTCTGTCTCTCAGTATTAGCCCATCCACTCATGAATTAAATCTCTCCCAGGTAACTGCTGCTATTTCTCTCTCCCAGTGTCAGCCCATCCACACATGTATGTAATAAACAGCTTTTTCCAGCAAGCTGCTAGAATCTCCATGATTTTAGTCCCCATTCACTGGAATAAACTTTTCTTTCAAAAGCCTAAATGAGTGGATTCATGTGCCCTCTAAAGCAAAGAGTGGGAAGAATTCATTGAGAGAAAGATAGCTTCTGTCTAAGAGAGTCAGGAGGGGGCTCTGGAAAGTAGGTTGCCCACCAACCCCACTTTTCAAGGGTGTTTCAGTAAGCAAAGCCAGGAGGTGAGGTAAGTTTAAGATGGGGCAAAACTATAGTCAACTACTAAGATCACAAGTATAGTAACTTAGGTAATACTGATCCAATGGGAAATCACAAGGTGGGTATGAGGTGGGACAAAACTATGGTCACCCAACAGGAATACAAGTATAGTCACTTAGGTAATATTGATTAAATGGGATCAAACAGAAAAGCAAGTCACATAGCAAGGCATAGCAAAGTACAAAAAACAAAGTCTTTCCAGGAAGGAATGGGGCTAGGGAGATTTTGCTCCGCTCCCAAGGTGATGATGCCTATTTAGAATATCAAGCACTGCTGTTTATCCCAAGGGTTAGTTGAGTTATACTTGTTCCTCTTTTTCTTGAAGCCTGGCCTTCAGTGAATGTGTCTTGGGCCACAGTTGTCTTCTGTACTGAAGGCCCAGCCTTGTCTAACTGCCTGTCGTATTTAGAACTAACTTAGCTGTCTACAATATCAAGAGCACTCAATAACCTTCCAGCAAATACTCTCGGCTTAGGTTGGTCTGTCCCTTTCCGTGCATGCAACCAGAAGTCTAATTGATGTGATGCTGAATCCAGGAAAGCAGACAATCTGCAGGCATCCGTATGCCAACTGTGCATGGCTTACTCACCTGTGTCTCCTCTAGTGCCTGGTTCCTACCAGATGCTCAATTAAAAGTGGTTAGATGAACCCATTTCTGCCATTGCCAACTCTGGCTGCTTCATGCTGCTCCTACCCCAAACAGGAGAAACTACAGCCCTTGCTGAATGAGCTTATCTGATTATATCTTAGATGAAAATAACACTCCACAAGAGATTGGTAGAGCTTTTAATGGCCTATAAACATACCGTCTAAAAGAGAAAAGAAAAAAAACAACAAAAACATTGTCACCCACGGCCAATTAAAGACTGCCACGCCTTGACATTTACAAAACAACCCCCCAAACAATGTAAAACTGCATCTGAAAGTTCCTGAGACAAATTCAGAGGAAGGAGAAAATATCCTGAAGAAATAGTACCAAGATGGACCCACTTAAAATCATGATGGAAATGAGATTAAAGCTTCTCATTTGCCCTTGGAAATCTCAGGAAAAATAACAAGCAGAAGGTCAGTGAAGATGGCACTTGTGCTGATGTCTCAGCTGGGAAGGGAGGCAGGGAAGCTGGCTTCCCTGAGCTTGCAGAAAAGAGCAGCACCCCTGGGCACTGCAGGACTCACCAGTGAACCCTTAGAACCACACGCCATTGACTTGGACCAAACAAAATTCAAGAAATCTTGAGAAAACCAAGGCCAAAATCGAATTAATTTACCAATCTACAATAGTGGTGGCAGGCACCTATAGTCCTAGCACTCGGGAAGCAGAGGCAAAAAATGAACACAACAGAAGAGTAAAACAACCACTAAGTGGGGAAGCTTCAGTTTGAAGTGAACATTTAGAATAGCTAAGACAGGGCCAGGGATTTAGCTCAGTGGTGTTGCTACCTGCCTTGCAAGCACAAATTCTAATCCCACCCAGGTATCCAAAAAAAAAGCTTTTTTTTTTTTTTGCTTGTCTCTGTTGCATTTTATTGGAAGTATGTGAGGGGCAGAGACCTGGGTTGGAGCACCTGGCCTCCCCTCTTGTTATGTTAATTGCTTTCTTCACTGAAGCTTTAGCTTCAGAAAGCCCAATGAAGCCTTTCCCTAGTTACCAACTCCTTTCCCCCACACAGGGAGGATGATAAATTCAAGGCCAATTAGCATAACACAGCAGGACTCTGCTCAACCTGATGATGCATTCCTGTAATCCCAGCACTCAGGAGGCTGAGGTAGGAGGATCATTGCAAGTTCGAGGCCAGCCTGGGCTACCTGGTGAGTTCAGGGCTAGCCTGGACTACATAGCATGATCCTGTTTCAAAAAGAAAAGGAAACCTGAACAAAAAGTCACTAACATTTTCAATTATGTCCAAAAAAACACTGTTTTGGTATCTCAGTAATTGTATCCATGACATGCAAATATATATATATATATATATCCATATATGGTTTATTTTAAATTGAGTATTATAACACCTAAAACCTTAAATTAAGCTCATTGCCCTGGACAAAGAAGGAAAAGAATTTCTGTCACATCCATCCCTCCCCTCTCTCTCATCTAGGACCTGATCTGGCTTCAGAAAGAATGCAGACCTGGCAGCATGGGATTCTGACCCTCCCGAACTCAGGACATTCCATTGGCAAATGCTCAGCATTTTCAGTACCTCCTCATCTAGTCTCCATATCTACAATCTAACAAGAGTCTCGGGATTGTCCAAGATAGCTGTTGTCAATAACTTTGCCTCACAGATGAGAGAAGTGAAGCCCAAAAGGGGCTGTGGGTAGGGATGAATAAGCCTCGTGAATACACTATGGTACACTGTACTGGGGCCACTATATTAGTGCACGGGCTGTGTGCAGCTCACAATTCTCCAAGCCCAGCCAGCCAGTGATGGGGTGATGGCCTCTGGCTGATGTACCCAAGAGTGCCTTGAGTGTTCAGCCTTCAGCAGTGCAGCCTGGGCAGAGTCACGGACCCGGGGTGGGCATATTAATGTCCTGGCTTCCCTACCCCTCACCAGGTGACAGTTTCTGCTGGGGTTTGAGTCCCTCACTGACCCAGCACATGCAACCAAGGCCTGGCCAACCCTCTCCAGAGCCCTTCCTGGAAAGCTGGACCTGTTTTCTGTGTATTGTTTTACCATCAAACATCCATTGTTCAATTTCCTCTGATTTTCTGATTTGTTTTTCACAGAACACAACCAAATCTTATTATTGCAGATAGGTAAGTTAATTAGCTATCTTACAGCAGCTAGACAGGGCCGCCCTCAAGGAGTCAACCTGCAGGACAGTCAAAAAGACAATGTGGAGGATAACAAAGACATATTCACTGAAGGCCAACATTGTAAAAGGAGAGAAAAGACCATATCCACATAGGATGAATTGCAATGACTGATATTCTAAATAGGCATCAATCACCTGGGTGGGGGACCAAGATCTTCCAGGAAAGATCCCTAACCTACCCCTTACCACTGAAAATCCTTGCTCTTTCCTTGTATACTTGCTACATGACTTGCTTCCCCATTGGATCCCCATTTAATTAATATTACCTAAGCAGCTATACTTGTAATTTTATTGGTTGTTCATAGTTTTGTCCATCTTGTGATTTCTCATTGGATCAGTAGTACCTAAGCAACTATACTTATAATCTTACTAGTTGACTATAGTTTTGTCCCACCTTGAACCCACCTCACCTCATGGCTTTGTCCCATAAAACACCTTTGAGAAGTTGGGTGAGTGGGCAACCCACTTTCTGGCCCCCCATCTATCTCTCTTAGATAGAAGTTATCTTTCTCTCAATAGAGTCTTCCTACTCCTAACCTCCAGTGTTCCTGTAAGATCCTCCCAGGGAGGAATCCCACCACTCTAAGTCCGGGACACCATGATGCACCATAAACACCCCGGAGAGACGATTCTTGATGCAAAACACAAGAGGTCTTTATTCCAACGCGCTGGGGCTCAGCTCATAACCCTCACAGGGGCAGAGGAGTTGAGCCCCGAAGCAGGGTAGAGACACAGTTTTTAAAGGAAAAAACCACAAGCTATAGGGTAGGGGGAATTCCGAGAAAGGGGTCAATTATGGGAACATTCAGTTACAAAGGGTGGGGACTTCGGGGAAGTGGGACCATGGATTGTTCAAAGGGGTAGGGTCTGTTCCGCACCAGACATTTATCTTGGTTCCTGCCTCTCAGGAATGTTTAAAGCGACCTTTTGACCTGTCATGGTTAGCTGACTCTGCTAGGGGTTGGGCTCTTAGAGCTTCTTAATACTTTTCCTAACATTCCTATAATTCATTCTTCAATTTTAGAGAACACAAACTCATGTTTTGGAGACCTATCAGGTTTGGGAGTTGCATCTATTCCCCCTAATCATTATCACTTGAGCCTTTTCTTTTTCTAAGAAAATACCTAATGCTTGCAACATGTACTAAAACTTTAGAACTTCTCAGCACATGTACTAAAATTGGAATGCTACAGAGAAGATTAGCATGGCCCCTGCACAGGGATGACATACAGATTCATGAAGGGTTCCATATTTTTCGTTACCACATGCACAAGGACACTATCTACAATGTCATCCTGAGCTAATACCTGGTGTACGAATGGCAAAGGGCTCAGCCTCTACCCCAGATTCTGGGTCTCACGGTCTCCCCAGGTACCAGAGGGTCCTCCAAGCTTGACCACATCCTGCAGCTCTGTGCCAACTTGGAAATGTGGCAGAACTGCCACTGGCAAACTACCATCCCCAGCTCTAAAAGCAATGTCCCAAGGCCTGCAAACAGCACAACTCCGAACAAAAATGCAGCCTTTTGGGGACTTGCTAAAGAAGTGAGTTCATACCACCTTGGAGATGCCAGAGTTGAATCCAGCCTTTTTGTTGTTGTCTTTATTTTTTGAAGCAGTGAGACTTCCTTCCTTCCCTTTTTAGTCCATCCAGGATATAAGCCTATCGGTTGGTGCCACCCAGAGTGGATCTTCGCCCTTCAGTAATCCATCCTCCATACCCAGCACTATGCTGACCCTATCAGAGATCTAATCCAGTATCGCACACCCATGATCCAGTCACTCCTAAAAGCCCTGCCTATAAGCGCATGAGGTTTGGGGTGGGGGCATCTACATATAAGCTACCACATTCTGCCCCTGCCCCCAAGAAGACTCATGTGCATCTCATTATGAAAAATGCATTTAGTCCATCTCTAAGAGTTGCCAAAGTCCTAACTGTTTCAGCATTACTAAAAGTCTAAATATAAACTCTCCTGAGATTTCAGGCAAACTCTTAGCTGCTAGCCCCTGTAAAAATGAAAAGAAAGTTAGGCACTTCCAACATACAATGGCACAAGATAAACATTCCCATTCCAAAAGGTGCAAATCAGGGGACCGAAAGGAATGGAACTGAAGCAAGACCAAAGCCCAGCAGGTCAGACATTAAATCCTGCAGTTCCATAACCAACATCCAGGCAATCTGTGACAAGATGTGAACTCCAAAGGGCTTGAATGGTTCATCGACGGGGTGATGCCAAGATCTGCCACTAACTTGAGCAGCAGCCAGGCCTCCTTCTCTCTTGGCTGTGGGGATCGAGTACCTGGACCACTGAACACTATGAACCCAATCCCGAGGAAAATTCTCTAGGCTGTCACCAATCTGGAACACAATTACCTGGGGCTCTCTTCCCAAAATAAATTCTTCAAACTTTGCAATTTTGAAGCTACAAAGGATATAATCCTGCTGGTTTTAATGATGCCCTCAGGCCATCTTTTTAAATTTTTTATATATTTTTTAGACAGAGTCTTGGTATGGAGTACAGGCTGGCCTTGAACCCACTCTATAGTCCAGGATGGCCTCAAATTGACAGTGATTCTCTACCCTCAGCCTCCCAAGTGCTGGGATTACAGGTATGCACCACCATGCCCAGTAGGCCCTCTTTTCCACTGTCCAGTTCCAAAGTACTTGACTTTTTAAAATGCGAATCTCTTCAGCAACCAAGTTCTCCTCTGTCCCATCTTTACAAGCTGTAACTTTACTCGTGCTTCCTTTTTGGCAAAACTCAAAACTTGTTAAGTCATTCTGCTGGGCCATTTGCTTTTGATCCTCAAGGTACAGCTGTGTAAGAGCCCCCAACTGTTGCTACCACCTCAATATTAGACTGCCTTGAAATTTCTTTCACTAGATCAGTGAGTCTGCTGCTCCTAATCTCAGTCTCCTGCAAAGTCTCTGGAAGCAAGCAAAATGCAGTTTTTCTGCCAGAGAATAGCACACATGACCTGGAGTCAGACCTGATCCCAGCCCCTGAGCCTTGTCTTTTCCAGCTGCATTTCTATCAGCACTCTGGTCTTCTGAGCTCTGACCAGAATCTCCCAACAAGCTCAGCTCACAGCACTCTAGGGCTGCCTCAGCCGGCATCTCCAAATCTCTTCAGACTCCTCCTGCAAGCCACTTCCAAAAGCTTCTGAACCACGAGGTCAGGTAGTACTATAGCAACGGCCCATTCTCAGTACCAAAATCTGTCCTGGTTAATTATAAAATACCTGACACCCAAAGCTAAAGATGAAAAGCTTTCTTTTGGCTCAGTTTATAGAGGTTTCAGTGTATAGTCGGTTGGCTCCAGGGCAGGGCAGCATGGCAGAGGGACACCAGGAGGAGAAACAGTCCATGGCACGACAGGCAGGAAGCAACAAGACCTCCTTCTTTTCCTTTTTATTCCATCCAAGCTACAAACTTATTGGTTGGTACCACCCCTGCCCAAGATGGTTCTTCCCTCTTCAATAAATCCATCATCCACATCCAGAGCTATGATAAACCAGTCAGTGGTCTAATCCACTGTCTCACACCTATGATCCCACATCATACACCCAAAATCCAGACACCTCCCAAAAGCCTCACCTATGAGCACATGAGGCTTTGGGGAGGCACACCTAGATATAAGATATAACAACGTGAAATGTTTGTTAAGTTAGACTACACTTTGAGTGATATAACAAACCTCAACTTTTTTTTTTTTTTTTTTTTTTTTTTTTATGAGACAGGGTCCAGCTATGTAGTTCAGGCCGGCCTTAGTAACCCAGGCTGGCTTTAACTTGTGGTGATCTTCCTGCCTCAGCCTCCCAACTAATGAGATTGCAGGCATATACCACCACCCCTAGCCAATTTTAAAAGAGTAGAAATAATACAAAGTACACCGGGCATGGTGGCACTGGCCTGCAATTCCAGCACTCTGGGAGGCTGAGCCAGGAAGACCACAAATTCTTGACCAACCTGGACAATGTAACTACTTAGTGAGGCCCTGTCTCAGGATGTACCTCAGCGTGAGGGGCCTGAGCTCAGTCCCCAGTACCAAACAATCAAAACTAAAAATAAAAGTATAACAAAGCTTATAATCGGACCACAACAAAATAAACCAGAAATTAGTAATAATAATTTCTGGAAGATCTCCAAGTACTTAGAAATCAAGCAATACATTTTTTAAAATAACACATGGGTCAAAGAGGACGTGAGGGAAGATTTTAGATGTCTCAAACTGAACTGAATGAAAATGAAACTATAAGACAACAAAACATATGGGATGCTATCAGGGCAGCGCTGAGCAGGATGGTGAACTGTTCAGTACTGCTTATTTGGAGGTGGGGAACACATGGTAATTCTCAAGGTGACCCTCAGTTGGTGGATACATAACTGTGCATTTGTCAAAATCCAAAAGCCACAATAAGTGAGTTTCACTGTATGCAAATCAGCCACAATGTCAGGGGAAGCTAGGACGGAATGCAAGCTATGACAAATGAACTGCATGACTGTGTTGAAGGGGGGAGAAAAGAAAGGAGTGAGACAGTGTACCCGCTGGCTGAAACCCCAAAATATCCAGAAACCTTAGCGGTAAACTCGCCTCTCACAAGATAAGGGTTAGCAATTCTGAAGCTACGGTATGTTATGTATTAGGGTTGGACGAATGAGAAAATTTTAAAGAGAATGACAGTAAACGTTCTCTGTCAGAGAAAGAAGGTGAAAATATCATAACAATCAAACAGTGCAGCTTTGTCTTCTCTCACTTGTTTGCTCCAGTGGGATTCCTTTGTGTGAATGTAACTGTTTCCCCGCTGACACCCAGAAGGACCTCTGGCTTGTTTCCAGTTTGGGCAATGAAGTTGCCTCTCACATTTGCGGTCATGAACATGGTGGAATTTCGTTTTTATGTTTCTTCAGTAACCATTCCCCACCCCAATCTGAAACAGTTTCTGCGTCTTCCCTTCTCTATCGCATTCTCAGCAGTTTTAGTATAGATTTTCCATTTCTGCCTGCGTCTGTCTAAGGCCTCTTCGTGCTCAGTCTTGGGTCGTGTTTTGGCAGGGATACCCTTGGGAATGGTGCTATGCCATTTGCACAGCAGCGAATCAGGGGTCTGATGCTTTTGTGTGCCAGATTTTTACATCACCACTGCACAGTTCCTGAAGATTTGGGAGGAAGATATTTCAGGACTGACTGGTACCTCGTTCCTGATCAAACCTTCCAACTCACCAGCCTCAGCCTCTAGTGAGGAGTCCTGCCTGGGTCAATCCCCTCTCTGATGGTGCCAAAGAATGACTTTCTATTTGATATCCTTTCCACAATTAGTAGTCAGCACTCTATGGTAAGGAAGGGCATTCACTGCCCGTTACCTACTCATCTATCTATCTGCCCTCCTCCCTACTTATCTACCATCTATCAATCATCAGTACAACTCATAAGATACAATTTTATTAAAGAATTTTTAATTCCTATCACGCTTTGCTCTTATACTCAAACTGTCCCAGATTTGCACCTTCAGACGACTTTTCTTTTTTTTTTCCTTCCCTCCCTCCCTCCTGTCCATTCTTCCTTCCTCCTTTCTTTCTCTACTCCTACCTTCCTTCCCTCCTTTTTTTCTTTCAGTCTTTTGAAATGGTTTCTCCCTTGTGAAACCCATGCTGGCCTCCAGCTTGTGATCCTCCTGCTGCAGCTTTCCAAGTGCTGGGATTTCTGAGTTCTTCTGACTTGTCCCCATCCTTTTTTGAGAGCTTCCTTTCTGATAAACAGGATGTTCCAATCTTATCTCATCCTTCTCCTCTCTCAGCCTTGGAATCAGCCATTTCTTCTAGAGAAAATGGTTCTGCATAGGGAAGGTACTTTTTTTTGTTTTGAGACAGGGCCTCACTATGTAGTTTGGGCTGGTCTTGAACTCACCGTGTAGCCCAGGCTTTCCTCGAACTCACAGAGATCCCCCTGCCTCATCCTCCTGAGTGCTGGGATTACAGGTGTGCACTATGCCAGGCAAGGGAAGGTGATATTTAGAAAACAATCTGGTCACTTGGTGTATTCCTTAGTACTGTGATATTACTATTTTCAGGCCCTCCGAAGGGCAGGGTACAACACACACACACACACACACACACACACACACACACACACAGCTTTTAGCTAGGAGGCCATGAACTCACCTAGAACTGGGTTTTAAAATTTTTTTATCTCTTCATTGTTTTTTTTTTATGGTACTGGAGTTTGAACCTAGAATCTTCACATTGTGCTATATTCCTGGGTTGAAAAATTTTTTAAATTTTGAGACAGGGTCTCTCTAAGTTGCTAAATTGCCCAGGCTGGGATCACACACACACACACACACTCACTCACTCACTCACCCACACTCATATACATGCATTCATGTACTCGTGCATCTATGAAGATTTAGTTTCATATGCGGGGATCGAACCCAGGAACTCCTGCATACTATGCTCATGCCCTACTACTGAGCTAAACCTACATCTATTTATAGCTATCGATTACAAGTACACACTTTTTTTTCGGGGGGTACCTGGAATTGAACTCAGGTCTCTCTGCTTGTGAAGCAGGAGCTGGAACCATTGAGCCAAATCCCTGGCCCTACAAGTATATACTTTAAAAACTGAGTCCATACTGACTTCCTCAGTTTCAGCCAAACATCCGTGTCAGGTTCTTTCTGGATTCCCAACTGTCTGCTTTTATGATCCCCCCTAACAATGAGAAAGCTGGCGAGGACGTGCAGCTGGCTGACCCTCTCACTTGCCCTCCTGCCACTCACCGAGCTCACTCTGCCTTTGAGAAGCTCTTGTCTACTCATCCCCCTCCAGGACTCTACACTCCTGGGGTTCCTGGGCACATCGCTGTCTCCTTCCCCTGCTGCCCCATGTCAGGCCTGTTGCCAGTCCCCCGCTCTGGGAAGGGAAGATGCAAAGGGCTACAGTTAATCTCCTCTTGTCTTATTTTGTTGCCACTGAGCCATAGTGTTAGTTCTTTATTTTATTTTGAGACAGGGTCTCACTGGGTCACTAAGTTGCTTAGTTTGGACTTGATTTTGGGATCTTCCTGCCTCAGCCTCCCAAAGAGCTGAGATTACAGGTAGGTACAGCCACACCCAGTTTACAGTAGTATTTTTTGTTTGTTTGTTTGTTGAGGCAGGTTTTCACTTTGTAGTGCAGGCTAGCCTTGAACTCACTGTGTAGCCCAGGCCGGCCTTGAACTCATGGCATCCTCATCCTCCAGCCTGAGCCTCCCAAGTTCTGGGATAACAGGTCTGTGACACCACACCCAGCTAAAAGTTTCTTTTTAAAACCACTTTATTGAAGTATGATTGGTGTCTGAAAAGGTGTATGTACTCGACGCATACCGCCTGATGAGCCAGGGGATAGACACGCATACCTGTGAAATCATCACTGCCATCAAGGCCATGGACGTATCTTTCACCTCTGGTTTCCTCTGCTCCCATCACCATCATTTCCTGCGCGTGGCAAGAACATTTGGCACAAGCTCTACCGGCTCAAGTGACTCAGCACGTGAGCTCTAGGCTCTAGGCGTTACTCTATCACGGGCCCTCAGAATCTATTTATCTTGCATAACTGAAACATTGTTCTTTGAGCATCATCTCCCTACTTCTTCCTATCCCGGATCACTGGCAACCACATTCTATCCTGGGCTTGCATATATTTGAGTGTTAGGCGCAACATACGAATGAGATCATGTGGCATTTGTCTTTCTGCATCTGGTTGTAACATAGTACTCTGAGATTCACGCACCTTGTCACCAGTGGTAGGATTTCTTTCTTTCTTGAGGCAGAATTCTCTCCTGAAAATTATAAGCACTCACTTCTCTCGTTGGGAGTATATCCTATTCCCATGGGATAATCTTTCAGCCTAGAAGGTCTCAAAAGTGGTAACTCAACTCTCCTCCTTCTGCCGAGGCTCATCTGGATCCGCAAGGCTTCTGCTCTTGAGGATTTTTCCTGAAATGTTTTTCCAGAGTTGATCACTTTCTTCCTCACACTGCCTCTCTCTGGCTTGGGTGGGGTGGGGCAGGTCATTTTCTTTTTCTTTCTTATTTCGGTACTCACAACCCCGTGCTTGTGAGGCAGACACAGTGCCACTGAGCTAAATCCCCGGCTCTGGGGCAGGTAATTTTTAAAAACACATACCCAATTATGTTATAGCCTCCTTTCTCTATCATCAGACCATAACCAGATCTTATGTTTACTCTACCTTTTGCCAACTGATTTAGCCACTTTCACTGTTAGGTTGCCACTGGTTAATTTTTTGCTGTTAAAAAAATACCGTGCATTTAATATGTATGTTAAGAAGACTAGTTCTCTGATGTGGCTTTTTGTAGAGACTACTTTTTTTTTTTTTTTTTTTTTTTTGAGACAGGAGACAGGGTGGTGCTATGTAGTTCAGGCTGGTTTTAAATTCACTATATAACCCAGGATGGCCTCAACTTCATGGTGATCCTCCTGCCTCAGCCTCCCAAGTGCTAGGATTATAGGTATGCACCACCACACCCGGCTAGAGGCTACTAATTATTAACAGAGATCCCTAAATAATAAATCTGAGAAACTAAGGCAGGAGGATTATGAGTTTGACCCCTGCATTGGCAATTTATCAATTTAGAGAAACTCTTAATTTTTTTTAAAGGACTGGGAATATAGTTCACTGTGAAGGTTCTAGGTTCAAATGCCAGTACTGTAAAAAGTACGAAGAAATAAAAAATATTTAAACCCAGTTCTAGATGAGTCCACGGCCTCCACGTTTAAACTGTACTTCCCAGCTTCCATTGTACCTGGGTGTGGTCATGTCTCTGTGTTCCATCTAATGGGATGTGAGCAAAAGTAATTATGCCATTTACAGGTCAGGCCCTCAAAAGGAATGCGCATGCGTTCCCTTTCTCCTTCTCTGTTCTCACCAGCCTGGGTGCAAACACAATGCTCAGAAGCTGGGGCAGCTACCTTGAAACTCAGAGATGAAAGCCACATGTTAAGCATGGCAGAGATGTTGTAACAACTACCCACCTTTGAACTACTATGTAAGAGAAAAAAGTCAAAATTCTCTTTAACATTTGGGATCTTCCACTGTATCTTAAGTAATATAATTTCATGCCACTACCTTTAGCCTGAAACCAGTACTTCTTTATTTATACATGCATATGTTTTTATTTTAAGTTTTGTGTCTTATATCGACATTTCTAAATTAAACTGTTAGCTAATGGTAGGAAAATTTTTAAAAGCTGTTTTGCATTTTTAAATTTCGGGGTACATTTTAAATATACGTAGTGATCACATTCATCATGGGGAATTTGAACCTGTATATGAGGCATTTTGTTTCCTTTTTCCCCCGCTTCTCTCCCCTCTATTCAACCCTTCTTCCCATCCCTATTTATAAGCTTTGTTTCCACCTTTTTCCTTCTATCCTCCTTTTTTCCTGGCCGTTCTTTCCTTTTCCCCTCTCCGCTTCTTGCTGCCATTCTCATTTGAACATTTTCTTCCCATTTTCCAATATCTATTATACATTTTGGTCCATCTACTTAGGTGCATCCATTTAGCTAGAAATGTCTCAAGCTCATCCTTCTGTATGGCAGAGCAGTACTCTACTGTATTAAAAAGAAACCCACATCTTCTTTGTCTTTATCCATTCATCCGTTGATAAGCGTTTGGGCTGTTTCCAGGATTTAGCCACCACTACAAACATGGGTGTACATATATTACTGTGGGGCAAAGCTTTTAATTCTTTTTTTTGTTTTGTTTTGCTTTTTTCTGGCACCAGGAATTGAACTCGGGTCCTTGCACTTGACTAGGCAGTTGGCAGAACCACTGAGCTAAATCCCCAGCCCAATGCTTTTAATTCTTTCAGGAAGATACCAAGAAGGTAAATAGCTGGGTTGAATGGAATCTCTAGTTTTAGTGTTGGGAAGATTCTACACGCTGATGTCCACAGTGGTTGCACAGTCTACACTCCCACCAACAGTGGAGAAGGGTTCCTTTTTCCCCCACAGCCCCACCAGCATTCATTATTGGTTGACTTCTTGATAGCAGCCATTCTTGCTGGAGTGAGAGGGAATCTCAGCCTTGTTTTAATTTGCATCTCTCATGTGACCAGTGATGTTGAACATTTTTTTCATATATTTATTTGCCATTTCAACTTCTTCATTTGAGAAGTGCCTATTCATGTCAGATGCCTATTTTGGGATTGGGTCTTTAAATTTTGGGGAGTTTTTTTTTTTTTTTTTTTTTTTTTTTTTTTTTTTTTTTTTT